GAACCCACTTCAGAATTTTATTTGCAAATTAACCACCTTGCTCATCTCTCTTTTTTGAGGTACAGTTTCCACCCAATTCATGTACAATGTACAGTGAAATACAGTTAATGGCCCGGGAGTTAAAGGATAATTAACAAGACTATTTAACTAAATACAGTATGTATAAAAAATGTTTGATAAAAAGAAAATGCATAACATAAAAATAATACTTTATATTATAAATAAAATTTTTAAAAGTATAGTTTGTTAATCACAGACATAAGCAAATTAAACATCACTATTATGTCTCGTATATGTAAATGAGAATCAATTTATATTTGTAGACATTTGTGCTTATATTGTCATTGGAATCCAATTTCTTATAAGATTTTAATTCAGTTTCTAATAATAAATCTAAAATTATTTTATAATTTTACCTTCAACCTATATTTAATAATTTTAAAATATTTAATTAATTAATACATTTATAATCATTAGGTTTTATCCTAATATTAAGTAAAATATATAATAATACAGTTTGTTCATTTTGTATTTAGTATAACATTAATTGGGTTTAAAAATATCTATAATTAATTTATTACCAAATCTATAATATCACCAGTGACGATAATTACCTTTTTATAATAACATAGTATTCACACTATTTCTAATACCAAAATATCCCACAAATTATAAAATTAATTTACACCAATGAACTCGTTTAAACATCTCATAAGACAAAGGGATTAATGAATTTAAAAATACACTTTTTAATAATCCATAAGTTGATCGCAAATTCTCCGGCTATTACCATTAAATAATCTAGACTTTATTTTCAATTAAACTTGTTTTAGTTTCCAGATCATTTGTTTCATCAGGGTTTGAAATAACGGCCCAGAGTTGGGGTTCGGCGGTTCCCCACACCTCAAAGGCTATGGCACCGAAAGCATAAACAGTGGCCGACAAATACCATATTATATTCCACTGATGTCTTACACCGGAATCGCCCTAAAAAGCATTGATTAAAAAGTAAATTGCAATTAAATTTAAAAATACCAAGTTAAAAATCAAACGATTACTGACCCCATAATCCAATAGGAGTCCAACAATTTGTGGTCCAATGAAACCCGTGGTTGAGGCCAATGTGTTGCTCACACCGAAGACACTGCCCGCATAACTGGGCGCGTATTCCGGGACGACACAAAATTCACCGCCGGTGATGAACCCAAATGCCGTCATTCCGACCAACATTAACGCTATGACCGCAATCGCATTACAGTCTACCACTGGTATGAGGAACATACAGACAGCGCACGTGAGCAGGGCTGGTAAATAATAACAAAGTAAATAGTTAATTGAAGTGATAGTTAAAACAATTAAACACTGTATTTATTATTTACAAAAGCTTTGAAAATTCTTGCGATTCCTGGTCTGAGAAAACCAGTGCTGACTGCGAATGCAATTAGAGAGCGGACCACCGGTTATGTTAGTGACACACAGACATCCGTACATCATTGAGTTGAACCAACTGTTGCTCGTTATGCTCACACCAAATACATTATCTAAATATGTGGGCATTTTTGTGCACATTATATAATAGCCAAAACAGGCGCAGATTTTGGTAAGTATTGACGCCCAGACGGGTTTGGACGAGAAGATAGCCCTCCAGGGAATCGTCACATTCTTCGCACTTCTTGACTGCGGATTATTACTCGATATGTATTTCAGTTCGTATTCACTGATATTTGGGTCCTCTTCGGGACTGTTGTGAACCAAATAACACCAAAACCCAAACCAAACAATATTTACAATAGATGTTAAATAAAAGGCTGAGGGCCACCCGTCCAGAAATTGCACCTTGCACAAATATCCGACAATTGGCAGGGTAACAACGCCACCAAAGTTACCGAAAAACATTGTCCCACTTATGGCCACTATTTTCTCCGATTGTGGGAACCATTTGGCAAACAACGAGAAAACACAGGCGTATATCACGCCGTGAAAGGCGCCGATCAATACCCGCATCAAAATAACCAAAGAGTAGTGAATGTCGGCCAACACTGGTATGAATGCGTTCAACAGTGCGGGCAATACAACACCCAAACCGGTCATCCATTTGGCACCGAATTTGTCCGCATATGAGCCCAACATTTGTGTTACTGTATAGCCATAGAAATACGAGCCAAGTATAACGCCCTGTACTGATTGACTCCACATATATTTCGGGCCCTAAATTAAAATATTAATTAAAAACTTAAATTAAAATAAAATTTAAAATAAAATAATACACAATGATATTAGGCTAAAAATTTAAAGATATTTACGTGATAAGTATTAGTTAATTTGGTGACATTAATTCTGGTGTTGATATCATAGCACAGGTCATTGCCGTGAGCGGTGGTGTCCTCTTCAATCACCTCCAACTCGTCGACCATCGCTATGATAGCGACACTCAGATTGGATCGCAACACATATAGCATAAAACAACTCAGACATCCCATCAAACCCACAATAAACCTCTTCGGCACCAATGGTTTGCCCATATATTTGTTTTCCATAATTTTAACTCACATATGCCAGAGCAATATGACCAGGCTTAATTTAGAAGATGCAACTAGTATTAAATCTAGTTTATTAGAAATACATGTAATTTACAAGAATATTTCGTAATACTTTATATTAACTTTTATAGTATTTTGTGGACATTTTTATAGTTTTAGAGCCAATTAAATAAAAATCAATTAAATTTTATTTGAATTTTTTCCATTGGAAACAGAGACGACATTGAATACAGAATTACATGGTTTTTGTGTTAAACGAGTAAACGATAGAATTTTATTAATATAGCGGTAATAGTAAACGCATTGGCTGTTATAGTAATGCTTAGGAACCAGAATTTATTTTGTAAATATTTCATTTGTGAGCAACTCATAGGAGTCTCTCTCGACGTCATTCAACATAGTTATGAATGAGAGAGAGAGAGAGAGAGAGAGAGAGAGA